TTATGTTTCATAAAAAAAGTAATAAGAAAATGATTCAAAATGATAAAAAGAAATTCGTATTTTATAACAAAAAAGTGTTTACATGAGCAGTGGATTAGTGGATTGAAAATTGTGGCAATTTTAAAAAACATGTTACCATGATCAAAATGAAATCTTTAGAATATTTTTTACTTTTAGTTAAGTTGCATATATTGCATAACTATATATGAAAAAATATTTAAAGTTCAAATAGGCGATTTATTTATATGTATATAATAAAGTGTACAATCCAAATAATTATATTTTATTTAGCATCTATATTGTTAATATTGATACCGTGATTATTGTAAAGTCCAACTCTCATTTTTCTGATAAATTTATATTAGATTAAAATGAATTGATAAGTCTAAAAAGAGATATGGATTGAATTAAAAAGATTAAATCGTGGTTAAATATCTTGATATCATAATTATATTGCTTATAAAAAAATATTCCATAACATTTGATTCCATAATAATACTGGGTTTAAATATAATCTATATATATATAATTACTGGCTAATGAGCATTTAATAAAACCTATTAAATTATACCTAGGTGGCAATATAATTTTTTCCCTCCAAAAACCATTACTTTTTATTCATTTAACATCTTATTTAATTATTAGGTAATCAATACACTAATTACTTTAAAATTACAAAAATCATTTTAAATTTTCTAATTACTTGCAGTTGACCATATAATGTGTTGACTATTTAATGTAAGTAGATGTTATTGTTGTGGTTAAATTTAAATTAACTTCTTTCGGAAAATAAAAAATATATTTAAAATTCCTAAATAAATAATATGTAATTCACAAAAAAAAAATATACATACCAAAATATACATTATATCCAATATGATAAACGCAATTTAAAAAATTTAAATATTTCAGCTCCTTTAATTGTAAATTTAACAAAAATTATTAATCATTATATGTATACAAATAACTCACAATATTTAATTTATATATTTGTGCAAATGCACAGGTTGAATACTAGTTAATTCTAAATAGCGGATTTAGTGTTTAATCCAATATTATGGAATATCTTTTTAAAAATATCTAATTATTAATTTATTTTTTCTTTCTTATTTTTATTTTATATTTATTTTTGTCAATTGACAATATTATGTTTGATAACAATGTGCACGCAGATAATTTTTTAGATATAAAGTTGTGAACTTAACAAATATCTTATGTGGTTCACTATCCATATAAACAATTGTCATTTGTCAAATTTATGTGATAACAACATTTATGCATTGTGCTCTTATTTTGTTTTAAATAATTTCAAATATACTTTTATTCATTCCAAATAAAATTTATACTACTTAAATTCAAACATTTCGTACAAAAAATAAATCACCCACTTTATACCACAAAATTGGACATTTATTATTAACAACACATTTTATATGAAAAATAAAAATGGCTATTAGATACTTAAAATAAAATAATCAACTTTATACCAAAATTAGATTTATTGATTTTGTCAACTTTATACTATAAATTAATTAAGTATTTTCTAAAAGTCATTTCTACATATTGTCCAAAATATATTTTAGCGGCACATAAATGTTATTTATATTTTTATATTTGGTTATCTTGTATACAAAGAAAAAGATAATCTTACAACTCTACTATGCCAACAAAAAGATGTATGAAAAATAACATAAGTATTAATTTATTATATTTTACTCAATACAGGAAATATAATATAGATATAAAAATTAACGATTAATTCTCTATAATTGCTCAATCAAGTCTATATATTTAAACTAAGGATTTCGAAAGTTTCTATAATACCCCCATATTTGTTTCCATAAAACTAAATCATCCTAAATTTAAATTCAACTAATAAAGGTAATAACCATAAATATTTGACTAAAAAGATTATGCACATTAATTACATTAATTTTTGTTAATTTCCTATTTTTGGACAATAATTAATGAAATTGGCGGGAAAGTGTTTTTAAAAGTGAATTATGTTAATCCTTATTATATATTAATAGATATATGTTTTTCTGATTTTTTTTTTTTTTTTTTTTTTT